CCCCCCCCCCCCCCCCCCCACCGAAAAATGTAATTCAATGTTTGGAAGCCAATCCTACTCTATATAAGGCACACATACTTGCATAGCTAGGCCACAATTAAACTGTTTCTCTCGCCCATACTTCTCAGAATCTTATATTCCCTCTTTATTTAGTTCACAACTTGTGGTTGCTAATCTGTTGAGGACCATATCTATGGAGATAGGGAAGTTTCTCCTTGTTGCTATTTCACTGGCTCTGGTTTTTGGGCTCGTCCAGAGCTTTGAATTCACCGAAAAGGACTTGGCTTCCGAGGAGAGTCTGTGGGACTTGTATGAGAGGTGGAGGAGCCACCACACAGTTTCCAGAGACCTTACTGAGAAACAGAAGCGTTTCAATGTGTTCAAGGCAAATGTGATGAACATTAACAAGGTGAATAAGATGGACAAGCCTTACAAACTGAAACTCAACAAATTTGGAGATATGACCAACCATGAGTTCAAAAGCTCCTATGCAGGCTCCAAGATCAACCACCACAAGATGTTTCGTGACAGCAGTAGGGGTGGCAATGGCCGGTTTATGCACGAGAAGACTGAAAATTTGCCACCATCGGTTGATTGGAGGAAGAAAGGAGCTGTCACTAGTGTCAAGGACCAGGGCAAATGTGGTAAAAAACTGTTACCTTATTTTGAATTTGTAACTCAATTTTACAAAAAACTGCTATGAAAATATGAATGTTTGTTTCTTAATTGGCCTTTTGCCTCGTGTTACAGGAAGTTGCTGGGCATTTTCAGCTGTAGTTGGAGTTGAGGGTATCAACCAAATCAAAACAAATAAGTTAGTATCGTTATCTGAACAAGAGCTTGTTGACTGTGAATCCGATAACCAAGGCTGCGATGGAGGATTAATGGAAAACGCATATGAGTTTATCAAGAAAAATGGAGGAGTGACAACAGAAAGGATATATCCTTACCAAGCTAGAGATGGGACTTGTGATGCATCAAAGGTATTTTATTTTTGTAGTCATCATAAGCATCTAACTAAATTGTTGTGTGTAGTACATGCATCTTTGATGTGTTTGTTTGATCTTTTGGTTTTTTCGTAGCTGAATTCTCCAGTGGTGATGATTGATGGGCATGAAAGTGTACCTGAAAATGATGAGAATGCCTTGATGAAAGCTGTTGTAAACCAGCCTGTGTCGGTTGCGATAAATGCTGGTGATTCTGATATGCAATTCTACTCAGAGGTAAGTTTCTGTTCAATTAGCAAGGCTTTTGCGGATTTTTCTTAAGTCGGAGAAAGGTATTGCAATTCAGGTCTTACAAAAAGCCATCAACACATACATTCTTTTTTGTATACTGCTGAATTCTTCCTTGCAATGTGTTGTGCAACTGCAGGGAGTATTCACCGGAGACTGTGGCACAGAACTAGACCATGGCGTGGCAATTGTTGGCTATGGAACTGCCAACGATGGGACTAAGTACTGGATAGTCAAGAACTCCTGGGGCCCCGAATGGGGAGAACAGGGATACATAAGGATGCAACGTGGTATCGATGCAGAAGAGGGACAGTGTGGCATAGCCATGGAGGCCTCATACCCCATCAAATTGTCCTCAGACAACCCGAAAAGCGCTCCACTTAAAGATGAACTCTAGATCCAAACAATAAGTGATGAAATTTTTATTTCTGTTATAGTTTATATATGAGGAGGTCAGGCTCTTCCAGGTAGACATAAAATTCTACTTAGCAAAACTATGTGATTTTGTCATACAGTTTAATGAGTATTACAGTTCTTTTGTATTGTTTGGATGATAATAAAAGCTCTTTTCAATGAGTGAATCGCAACAAGTGTAGTCTTCAAAAGTGCATGTTTTTGACACTGAGTTCAGAAATTAAACACGAATAGTATTCAAGACAGTCACAAATCGACCACACATAATTCTTCTTTCAAAATAATAGACGGGCAAAATTTTAAAATAAAATTTTGTGGCATAAATAATGTGACACAATCTGAGTTTCTTTTATTTGTCGAGTACGAAAACATTATGTTATTTGGACCACAATATTCGGTCCAAAACTTTCGATCTAAGTAATAAATTTCATTCTTTATTAGTGCTATTCATAATTCGTTAAATTCATGACACCAAGCTAATATAGTTGTACATTATTCTCTCGACTATCATATTTTTTATATTTTTATCACAATTTTATGCTTAGCATCGTATCACTTTAATTATCAACGTTCGTTACATATTTAACAAAAAAATATTTTATTTTATTTTTCAAACTGTGTAATAGATTGAGATCTATAGGATGGTGGAGGCCTCAACGGCCTTGTATCAGGTGAAGAGAAAGGGGTGATAGGCTTTGTAGGACTTGAACCTACAATATAACCGCTTAATTATTTTCACCTTGTTTTGATACGTTGGCAATTTTCATTTTTAAAAAAATAGCATAAGTTTCCGGGGTACTCTAAAATAATTTAAGCAATTTAGGGGACAATGTGAAAATTTTCATAGTTCAAGGGAAAAAGTAAAATTGAATCCATAATTTAGGATGTCAAAGTGCAATTTTTCTTTGAGAAAAACACTGGTGGGGTGTTTAGGGAGCTGGAGTGGATAGGATAGGATAGGTTATCTTTTTTTATATCCTAACTCTTCCGATCCAAACTCACTTATCCACTTTAAAACCTTAACCTTGAAATATATCCGATCCTTACTTTTGTTTGGGAAACAAGAGGTGTATTTCAATGGCCCTACAGGTTACACAAAGAATTTGTAGTATTTTACCATTATATCCATGACTCTATCTATTTCAATATAAACCAATAATATTCTATGTTTGGATTGATGAATTATCATAATAAAATTATACATTTTTTACATANTAATATTCTATGTTTGGATTGATGAATTATCATAATAAAATTATATATTTTTTACATATTACATAAAAAATATATAAAAATAAAATAAAAAATTTTATTAGGAAAGTTAATAATTTTTTTCCAAATAAATTAACACTTTATTTTATTTTTTAAAAATTGATTAATGGGAGAAACAAAAACAATCTTCCCTTAAAATAATATGATAAAGCAACCACGACGAAGAAAATATAAAAGTAGTCCCAACATTTGACTGGGAAAAAAAATCCAATGCAACAAGACCTTCTTTTAACACAAACCAACAAATATGCTCCAAAAGAGAACTGATAGGCAGCAAGGGGGAAGGATCTGAACAGAGGGCCGTGCAATCCTTCGAACAGACTCCTGCGTATTCTCAAGAGAGACCCAACAAACCAATCGACTTCATCAAATGCCAGTGCTGAAGACCAAAAACCAACCTAAAATTCTCACAGCAATGAAACGAAACAGAGAGCAGCAAAGAAAGGAGGACCAGCGTAAAGCGAAATTCCCCAAGACTTTGATTGATTTAGAGCCGGATGAAAGTCTGATAAACCTTGAGAACACATCCATCCATCCACAAATACACCTACTAAGAATTTCTCTTCAGTAACACAGAGATGCAGAGGTCTGTTGAGATGAATCCAGCAGAGTCCAGAATGGTTCTTGCAGAAATCCAATAGTCGAAACAAGAGCAGAAGACCAGAAATCAGAAACTCCACTGTCTTCGTCGACTCTGTGAAGCTCTCACCAACGGCACGATCGCCTTCGCCTTAGTGCTCACCTTGGACGAGATTAGCTGACAGTAGAAAGAGAGCATAAGGGATTAATCGCTGGTGGGTGGAGAAAGAGACAGGGGCAGTATCGTCTTGGGGGGAGTAACCCATTGCCTGGGTTTGTAACCTTGGGGGGCTGGGTTATCTGCCGTGTATGGCGGTTAACATTTCACTGTAGCACCGGGTCAAGCGGTGACCCGGGATTTGTAGCCAATCTCAAATAAACTTCCCAAAGGGTTAAATGGGTCCCACTCCTAGATAACCCCCTTTATCCCACTACCCAAACACCCCCTAGAAACTGCCTTGTCTTGGGTTTTTCTAGGGTTTCTACTTGTTTGTGAACTTCCTCTGCAAAACACCCACACGCGCATACTCTAGCAGAGTAAACCATGACGTTAGCTTCCGACCTCGACGTCGTCCCGGAAGCGCTAGCACCTTCCGGCCTCACGGCGGAGAAACTTTCACTCCCAACCCTCCAATCGAAAATGAAGATCGACCCAGAAGGCTACCAAACGGAACTCAGTCTCCTCTACAATCAATTCAAATCCTCTCTAGAGCTCTTCCAACAACAAGCCGCCCTAAATTTCACCTCCATCAGTGGAATCTCCACCGACTCCACCGTCGCAAAGGACCTCGGAGACCGAGCCATGTTTTTGTCTCATATGACACCGTTTTACCCCGAACAACTCGCCAATTTTCCTACAGAGCTCGCCGATTTCCTCCGGTCATCAGGCCGGTCTCTGCCATCGGGGCTTCGCTGTCATATTGCCCAAGCTTTGATTCTTCTCATTAACCGAAAGGTTGATTGAATTATTTAAATTTTGGTACTTTTGTTTTGTTATTGATAAAATATTTGGAAAAGAAGTGAAATTACATTGATGAAGTGCGTTTTTCTAATCAGTCCAATAGTAGTCCTTGCCTTTTCTTTTGAGAGCTCCGAATTGTTGGTGTTAGCAGTTATTTATAAATTTTTTTTTGTAAATAGAATTGTGACTCGTATGATGGTATGGAAGAATTAGTGCTGGGAAATAAAGAGATTTGGTTTTGAATTTTTTGTTCTTTTATTTTTCTGAGTTACTTTAATGGATATGTCTAGTTTGATGGAGTTTAGTCTAGACGCAATCATTAAAAGTTGAGGTCGTGTTTCTGTATCCATGTTGGGAGAGCGACTGATGTAGATTCTCTGTTTGGCTAATGAGAAGATGTTGGAAAGGAGAAGATAATATAAATGTTGAATTTTGAGTTTTTATGGTTTGGTGATAAGGGTAAGAAGAAGAACTCAGTTTAGCTGACAACCCAGTTGGCTTATTGAAACCAAATTGGTCATAAAAGCAACCACAATGATGTGGAACCTGAGATTTGAAGTTCTTATCCTATTTAAGTTTGTCTCATTCTGACTAGAATTAACTTTGCTATTGTCTGTGTTTAAAATCTGATGGAATCTTGTTTTTGTAGATTGTTGATATTGGGGATACTCTTGCCTTGTTCATGGAGCTTCAGACTTTGGGTGATAGGGCTTTGAGAAAATTGGCATTCTCACATGTTGTTCAAAGTATTAGACGAATGAATCAGAAACATAAGCACGAAGCCAAGAATCGGACGCTTCAGAACATTCTGTTTTCAATGCTACAGGTATGTTAATGTCTTAGCTTTTGTCATGGTCCTCTGAATTCATCATCGGGGTTGAATTAAATGTGTGTATTTATGTTTGGTGTAGCAAGAGGACGAAGCAAAAGCAAAACAATCCCTTATTACACTTTGTGATCTTCATCGGAGAAAGGTGTGGTTCGATGAGAGGACAGCCAATGCTATATGTACAACGTGTTTCAATCCATCATCTAGGTGAGGATTAAGCTTTAGATGTTCTCCATGCACTTAACAGCATTGTGTTTAAAGTCTCTTTGCTTGTGTCATAGGATCATGATTGCTGCTCTATCATTTCTCCTTGATTTTGAGAAGATTGAAGATGATGATGATAGTGATGTTTCAAGCGGTGAAGATGACATCAATGTCAACCAGCCTCATGTTGTCCTCAGTAAAGAGGCGGTTTATAAGGTCAGTTCCTCAAGTAAAGACATGAGTTAGGTTCTTAGTTTTTAGAGAAACTTGGAAATTGGCCTTTTTCACAAAGTGTTAGTTTGTCAAGTTTCCTGAGTTCCTGATCCAAGGTGTCTGCAATCAAATTCTTAGTTCAAATTTGACTTTTTGTTGAACAGTTTGAGTGTTACTTGTATGCTATTTTACTCAATTTACAACTAGCACTTGTCAAAAAAGTTTAGCATTTATTTTAAACATAAATTGGCACTCCAATGTTCTTTTTCAAGCATCACCTTCTTCAGATGTTTATAATGCTATTGCTGGAAACATGTGGTGGATATAGTTAGTCGCACTCAGGTTAATTTTTCATAATTACATTGAATTTTTAGGCAAACCATAAAGGTACAACATCTAGCAAAAAGAAAAAGAAAGCAAAATTGCAGCGAGTTGCACGTAGCATGAAGAAGCAGCAACGCATGTCATCAGAGAAAGATAATTTGAGTTACTATTCACCACTTAACCATTTGAAAGATGCACAGGTTTGTTACTTTCTCATTCTATGGTCGGTACTGTAATTCTTTTTAACGAGAAGGGTAGAAGAATATTTCTGAACTAAATTCTTTTTTGCAGGGATTTGCTGAGAAGCTGTTCTCTCGGCTTCAAACTTGCAATGAGCGGTTTGAGGTATTTACTGTTCATTGTTTCTCTTTGTTATATGTCATGCCTTGTCTCTGCGCTTCAATTTATTGTCATAGAAACCCTTCCTCTTTCTTCTTTGTCTTTCTATCTTCAGGTTAAGATGATGATGTTGAAAGTAATTGCCAGAACTGTAGGGCTTCATCGCCTGATTTTATTGAACTTCTATCCTTTTGTTCAGAAATATGTTCAGGTATGTTGATCGTTTAATGCAGTAAAAATAAGTCTCTTGAGGAAGTTTGATGACTTGAGATGTATTTGCAGCCCCATCAACGTGATATCACAAATTTACTTGCAGCAGCTGTCCAGGCCTGCCATGATATGGTATAGTAAACTTTTGGTTTGTTTGAATCTTGAATGTTGTGGTATGTAGTTTTTCTTTCAATGGAGCTTGCTTATGTGAATGTCGTTGTCTTCTTTAGGTGCCGCCTGATGCAGTTGAACCACTTTTCAGGCAAATAGTCAATCAGTTTGTGCATGATCGTTCACGAACAGAGGTAGGCCTTGTTTGCTTGATAGTTGTAACCTGTAATCTCATGTGGCAGTAACTTATTTCTTTGTTGGATTTTCCAGGCCATTGCTGTTGGATTAAATGTAGTGAGGGAGATATGTTTACGTATGCCTTTGGTAGTCTTCTTTATCCATGATCCTGACAATCTGTTTATAAGTGTATTCCATTATTAATATCAAATGCGGTCCACCCTTCCTCGTTCTCAATCAGATGTTTTCCCTGCCTTGTTTTTTGGTGATTAGCTGATGACAGAAGACTTGCTGCAAGACCTTGTATTGTATAAGAAATCTCATGAGAAGGCGGTTNCATGACGTTAGCTTCCGACCTCGACGTCGTCCCGGAAGCGCTAGCACCTTCCGGCCTCACGGCGGAGAAACTTTCACTCCCAACCCTCCAATCGAAAATGAAGATCGACCCAGAAGGCTACCAAACGGAACTCAGTCTCCTCTACAATCAATTCAAATCCTCTCTAGAGCTCTTCCAACAACAAGCCGCCCTAAATTTCACCTCCATCAGTGGAATCTCCACCGACTCCACCGTCGCAAAGGACCTCGGAGACCGAGCCATGTTTTTGTCTCATATGACACCGTTTTACCCCGAACAACTCGCCAATTTTCCTACAGAGCTCGCCGATTTCCTCCGGTCATCAGGCCGGTCTCTGCCATCGGGGCTTCGCTGTCATATTGCCCAAGCTTTGATTCTTCTCATTAACCGAAAGGTTGATTGAATTATTTAAATTTTGGTACTTTTGTTTTGTTATTGATAAAATATTTGGAAAAGAAGTGAAATTACATTGATGAAGTGCGTTTTTCTAATCAGTCCAATAGTAGTCCTTGCCTTTTCTTTTGAGAGCTCCGAATTGTTGGTGTTAGCAGTTATTTATAAATTTTTTTTTGTAAATAGAATTGTGACTCGTATGATGGTATGGAAGAATTAGTGCTGGGAAATAAAGAGATTTGGTTTTGAATTTTTTGTTCTTTTATTTTTCTGAGTTACTTTAATGGATATGTCTAGTTTGATGGAGTTTAGTCTAGACGCANTCCTCCTCCTCCTCCTCCTCCTCCTCCTCTTTTCTCTGATGCATCTTTTTGTCTGTGTGTTTTTTTAATGGTTATTGTGGTGGTCATGCAATTTCCGCTTCATGGACGACTGACGGTGTATATTTGTAGGTTTGCCCTTCACTTCTGATCAAGAAGGATCGTGGACGGCCCATTGATCCTAAGGCAAGGCCGAAAGCATTTGGTGAGGTGAATGTCGCCAGCAATGTCCCAGACGTTGAGTTATTGCAACAAAATGATGGAAGTGATGATGATACCAATGATCATGGATATGGTAGCTCTTCTGATGATGATAATCATAATGATGAAGATGTGGATGCTGTTGAAAAAGATGACAATAGCATTGATGATGGCTGGGATGGTGATCATGCTTTCGAGTATGAATCTGATAGCTCTGATGATGACGATCTCCAAAATGACCAAAACATTAGTGCTGGATGTGAAGATGATGATATGCAAAAAGTTGAAGTGTCTGAAGATGAGGATGCTAATGACTGGACTGATGATGAGGACGATGCCAGTGATGAAGATGATGATGACGAAGAGGAGCATGGGCAGATTAATGGCTCCCCAACAAATTGTGATAAAAATGAATTTAAAGAGAAGAAGAGGAAGTTTTCTGATTTTGATGGACAACTGAATGCTGCCAACAAAAGTCTTCGGGCTTTAAAGAAATTAGCTGGAGCAAAGATGAACCCCGGTCCCTCAGATACAACAGATGGTATTCTTTCTAATGAGGACTTCCAAAAAATCAAAGAGCTAAAGGTATGCTAGTTTTTCGTACTGAACCGAGCCTTGCATTGGCTTTATCAGGCTTAAGCACCGACTGTTGCTCATATTGCAACCTTTTGTAGTGAAAACATCCTGCCATTCTTTTTTCTCGAGATAAAATTTGTTCATAGGTCTTGGGATATGCTTTTCAGTTAGTAATTTTTGGCTTTATGTGATTAGGCAAAGAAGGAAGCAAGGATTACTTTGAATCAACATGGATTTAAGATTCCTAGCTCTGATAACCTTAGTGTTAAAAGAGTGGACGCTGCCAAGCTTGAGGTGAGTTATCTATTTTCATGGTCGCTCACTTTTGATCTTACTATATATGTCCACATGCAACTATAGATAAAAAAATGCAGGAAAATATGTTACAGCCCACAGATTAACTTATATTTGGGGGACTTGGGAAAGTAACGTCATGTAAAGTATTGGAAGCTTTAACACAAAAGGGGTAATTTCTTAGAGACTGGTATGGTCCATGTCTCATGTATACTGCCCAGTCTCATCATGTAGTCAACAAAAGTCTTAGAAAGGAGGAAGGTTTTGTTAGCAGGAAGCCAACTTAAATCTTCGTCTATGGGATCTTCTATGAGCAGAAGCTTATTATCTGCTAAATTGTGTGCAATATAATTAAGAAATTTATGTCTTGACCGATTTCTTTTTCTCGTGGGACCCTCACGATGAGAAAGATTTCAAATGCATGGGAAATCCTTTTCACAAGTTTTTCTTGTGTTGCTCATATATTGTCCTGGCAAGAAGTACATTTGACACAATTCTGCATGCATTGTAGGTTAACATACGAAAAAAGATGAGCAAGGATGAAAAACTAGCATTAATAAGAGCTGGAAGGGAGGAGAGAGGGAAGTACCAAGCCCGAACTGCTGTAAAACAGNAATTCTGCATGCATTGTAGGTTAACATACGAAAAAAGATGAGCAAGGATGAAAAACTGGCATTAATAAGAGCTGGAAGGGAGGAGAGAGGGAAGTACCAAGCCCGAACTGCTGTAAAACAAAAGAAGGTGAGTTTTACTTTTTCAAGATATGTACTTTATTGTTCATTTCCTAGCAATACATATGGTTTAACTTTGTTCTTGATTGCAGTCACATGTTTGGCATTCTGTTGTTTTTCTACAAATTGTTATCATTAATCCGGTTTGAGACAGATAGCTAAAGTTTCATGTTCTGCCAACCTAAAAGAGGAAGTGTGAAGTTGGAGTTTTAGCTGGGATATCAATTCATCGTTTGTGCTTGACAAAAGTAGTAGTAAATTAATGGTCAAGTAAACAGCTAATCTATTTCTAGGCACTATAAGTGCATTTTACACTTGCGATACAGTTTCTAAAATGATGGGCCCTTACTCCCCTTTATTGCTCTTCTTTATCAAGGCAATAAGGGCCCGTTCTTTTTGTCAATGATTGTAAGGTATACCTCACTATTTTCACTTACCTATTCTTCTTTCTATTAATGTATACCAATGATCAAATCAGCGTTGTCTAAGTAAACAGATCCGAGTAATTTCCTTTTTCATTAAATTTGCACATTCAGATGTTATATGATTATCAGGTTCAAATTACGCATCATAGAATCTGTTATATTTTGTGTCCCTTTTTTTTTGGTTATGATAGAAGCTGCTATATGGACACTTTGTTTTGCATCACATTTAATGTTCCAATTGTGGACAGACTGGTGGTTTAAGCAATCGGCAGAAGGAACACAAAAAGGCTATGCCCCTTGCAGCAAAGAGAGCCAAGGTCACACGATCTCGGCAGGAGAAAAAGATAAAACAGCAACGTTCTGGGAAACAGTTCCGTGGGAGGAAAGCATGGAAGTGATCTGCATTGTGATTTGCTATACTCTAATGCTGGTCTGCTTAGTAGTTGCCCACTACAACTAAAAATTTAAAGAGGAGGGGGTGGAGGGAATAAGTGCTCTTTTATGTTATGTTGTTTTTTCTGGGGGGCATTGTAGTCTAGATCTGTGGTAATATATTACCACAGACCTGGAATTTTCTCTTGTGGCTCCTATTTTTAATATTTAATTGATAATATTCATTATCCATTCTTTGAACCTCACTTAATGATTTGGAATGCTAGAGTACCTATGAAAGTGCATATGCTTGTTTAGGTGATTGTTCATGGTAAGGTAAATAATACCTGTGACTTGTTGCGAGATGGCCTAACATGTTTCTTTTCCCGAATTGGTGTATTTTGTGTAAGGTAGGTAGTGAAACTATTGATCACTTGTTCCAGCACTACCGTATTGCAAAATTTTTGTGGGAGGCGGATTTACAGTGGGTGAAGGCATTGCACAATACACTGCCCTCGAAACACACTATACAGATGACTGGGGTCTGGGTGATTGTATATTCTTATTTGTGGTAAGCCTTGGTGGGTTCGGGAGTAGAAAAAAGCTTCAACACTCTGGATATGTGTTATTTTNAACTATTGATCACTTGTTCCAGCACTACCGTATTGCAAAATTTTTGTGGGAGGCGGATTTACAGTGGGTGAAGGCATTGCACAATACACTGCCCTCGAAACACACTATACAGATGACTGGGGTCTGGGTGATTGTATATTCTTATTTGTGGTAAGTCTTGGTGGGTTCGGGAGTAGAAAAAAGCTTCAACACTCTGGATATGTGTTATTTTGACTATTTTTGGGTAATGTGGATGGAGAGGAATAGTAAAATTTTAAAGAAGAGTTGTTAATGGGGTAGGAGGAAGTTTAATGCATAGTTATGGGGCAAGGGCTTCTAAGTGAGTTCGGTGATTTTTCTCTTTCGATTTTTCTACAAAATTGAAAAGTTTTTTGCAGATGAATCGTCTTTTTCGGATACTATTGTTCTTGTTTTGGGATTTTGAGTGGATTTTTGATCCACTTCTGTATTTTTTCGTCTTTCAATAGAACGAATGTTTTGTTCCTTACGTCAACCAAAAAATAAAAAAGATCTGTTGTAAGATATTACTCCTCCCTGAGAGAAAATCTTGGATCTGTGTACCTTTCATTTGGAAAGCATTGAAAGTGATTGTGTTAGNCCACTTCTGTATTTTTTCGTCTTTCAATAGAACGAATGTTTTGTTCCTTACGTCAACAAAAAAATATAAAAGATCTGTTGTAAGATATTACTCCTCCCTGAGAGAAAATCTTGGATCTGTGTACCTTTCATTTGTGAAAGCATTGAAAGTGATTGTGTTATGCAGTAGCGACGGGCACGGAGGTAATTAACTTCTTACAACAAAATTTCAGTTAATGACTCGTTTATTTTTTGGTTAATAACACTTTTACTTCATAAAGCATAAACTGACAACAAATACATATTTTAAAAATTAAATATACTGTTAACCCTTTATTTTTCCTTTTTTCTCGTTGCCCAATATGAGACCTTTCCATAGTTCTACTCTCCATACCGCATGTCCTTTGATGAATCGAGAACTATGGAATCAGACACTGCTATGTGGATGTGCGCTCTTCCTCTGCCAAGAGGACGGCCAATCCGCGTCCAATAGTAGCTGCTAGCTTTACCTAGGAACGGGTCCTTAGTCTGCTTTTAGACCCAAAAAAATCTTAAGCANTTCAGTTAATGACTCGTTTATTTTTTGGTTAATAACACTTTTACTTCATAAAGCATACATTTTTTGTCAATTTGATCTTTAAAGTATCAATTTTGTCAATTTAATTCTTAAAATATTTAATTCGTGCTAAAACCGATCCCTGCATAGAAAAATCGAAGTGATACGTGATCACTTCTACTAAAAAATTGAACAAATTGTCAAATTAAAAATCAAACTGACATGAATCAAATAGTTTAATGACCAAACTGACAAAAAATACATATTTTAAAAATTAAATATACTATTAACCCTTTATTTTTCCTTTCTTCTCGTTGCCCAATATGAGACCTTTCCATAGTTCTACTCTCCATACCGCATGTCCTTTGATGAATCGAGAACTATGGATCTAGTAAGTTGAATCAGACACTGCTATGTGGATGTGCGCTCTTCCTCTGCCAAGAGGACGGCCAATCCGCGTCCAAAAGTAGCTGCTAGCTTTACCTAGGAACGGGTCCTTAGTCTGCTTTTAGACCCAAAAAAATCTTAAGCAGGTAATTAAGTTCCAAATTCCACGACCACTCATCTACTCTTCTCTAATACAAAGTCGAGCCAATTGTATAGAAGTTCCTCTCTAATGTTTTATTAGATGGCACCCCTCACCCCCACCCCCATTGCAGAAAATTCAATGGTTGTTCCCAAAAATAAGACTATTTATGGGGTCTACCCTTCTTTAGTTCTTATCCATCACCCAGAAGTTTTGCTAGCAGACAAACATACTTGACGCTAGTAAATTAAACTAGCACCCACAGACCACTAGGCATGACACCTTCAAGGAGCTTCTATGTAACTTTAAAAAGGTAAAGCTACATCAAAATTCATGCTTGTGGTTCCTAACCAAGTCCTTAATAAAACCAAATATGAGGGAGGGAGGGAGAGAGGTAGGGGAGGTTGGGTCACAGCTTACTCTTCTACTGGAGGCGGCAATTCAGTTGTCTGCCCAAATATATCAGGAATTCCTTCCCACTTTACTTTCTCTCTTGCTTCCCAGTACCCACTCGCGTAGCGGTAACAGCCATCATCGTCCTTCCGGAACCATCGTGGTTGCCAGCCTCTTTCTTGTAACTTCCTTGCCTGCACCACAAATTACACATTTTTCTTATTCTTTTGGAAAGAGTACAAATAGCTCAAATTACGCAACTGATGTTTTCTAAAACCAATATAAAGGTGAAAAGCAATGGCTTTTTTATTGTTCTTGGCCTACTCTCAACTCTCCGGGCATCACAAAAGATTTCTTTCAATTTTTTAGTGAAAATTTGCGTTGAAATAAACATGGTCCACACTATGACAGCCTAAGGTTCTTCAGAGGTTGGGATCCTAATACCATTCCTGATTGCAGTATTACTTCCTCACAGCCAGCCACCAAAACAGAATAGAAATACTCCTCTTAACGTCAACACCATGATGCAAAACACAGTATCTGAACACGTAAAACATTAGATTTACTATCAACAGAACTGTGGGTTAATTAATATTACTGCTGCTTGAACAGAGAGGTAGGTAGTAAGGGGTTCCTTAGGAGAAGGAAAAAAACTGAAAAGAACCATTGGCTGACTTGCAAGTTCCAATGACATTCTAATGATGCACAAGGTACGACAAAGGGCAATCTGCATTTGATCATCAAAGCAAGCATACTCAAAACAACTTCCGGAGCACTTCCTANATTCATGCTTGTGGTTCCTAACCAAGTCCTTAATAAAACCAAATATGAGGGAGGGAGGGAGAGAGGTAGGGGAGGTTGGGTCACAGCTTACTCTTCTACTGGAGGCGGCAATTCAGTTGTCTGCCCAAATATATCAGGAATTCCTTCCCACTTTACTTTCTCTCTTGCTTCCCAGTACCCACTCGCGTAGCGGTAACAGCCATCATCGTCCTTCCGGAACCATCGTGGTTGCCAGCCTCTTTCTTGTAACTTCCTTGCCTGCACCACAAATTACACATTTTTCTTATTCTTTTGGAAAGAGTACAAATAGCTCAAATTACGCAACTGATGTTTTCTAAAACCAATATAAAGGTGAAAAGCAATGGCTTTTTTATTGTTCTTGGCCTACTCTCAACTCTCCGGGCATCACAAAAGATTTCTTTCAATTTTTTAGTGAAAATTTGCGTTGAAATAAACATGGTCCACACTATGACAGCCTAAGGTTCTTCAGAGGTTGGGATCCTAATACCATTCCTGATTGCAGTATTACTTCCTCACAGCCAGCCACCAAAACAGAATAGAAATACTCCTCTTAACGTCAACACCATGATGCAAAACACAGTATCTGAACACGTAAAACATTAGATTTACTATCAACAGAACTGTGGGTTAATTAATATTACTGCTGCTTGAACAGAGAGGTAGGTAGTAAGGGGTTCCTTAGGAGAAGGAAAAAAACTGAAAAGAACCATTGGCTGACTTGCAAGTTCCAATGACATTCTAATGATGCACAAGGTACGACAAAGGGCAATCTGCATTTGATCATCAAATCAAGCATACTCGAAACAACTTCCGGAGCACTTCCTCTTTTATATTGAGAGGAAAATAAATTGAACAGGCAATGTCAAATCCTAACAAGAGTATTGAGGAAAATACCTGTCTCTGCAACTGTTCAAGTCTGAGCTTCTCTGCATTAGCCAGCTCATACTCCCCATTCTCTAAATGCCGCTGATCTGGCCTCAGCCTTGAGTCAGTGGGTGGCAGCTTCTCCATTAAACCAGGCGTCAATTCATTCAAGGATATTGCGAAGGCTGTGAGGTTATATCTTGTCTTGGGAACAGATTTATCCCTTTCCCACAGCAATACAGCTTCTGTCATTGGATCATAACCCTTTGGCTTTGTTGTTGGATCTCCCAACACATAGTACATGGCCTCATCCCATTTCCCCCACAACATCGCTACCTTTTGCCCAGTTCTATTGTCTTGTACAAACCCATGAACCTGCAATTTCATAACGAGTTCATCCATATCAACCAGTTCATAATTAGCCAGAAAGCGCAAAAATACACTCTGTGAAAGATAGAAATGTTATTAACCATTTTTCTTCCAATTAGCCCACCTACCAGTAGGCTAACAACCAGCACACTAGAGAACAGGCAAGAATTTATTTCCATGCCAACATCACATTTTTAAGGACAAGTAAATTAACCTTCTAATTAAATTATAACTTAATAAGGATACTTTTTCAGGGGAAGTTTTTCAGTGATGAGTAATTTGACTTTGTAAGAAGGGTCATCAAGGGGAATCCAAGAGAAACACTACTGCGAAAAAACTAAAATATGTGGCGGGTTTCTTTAAGCTATTGGTGAAGTGCTTGGTCATCCTAGCTGGTGTCAGAAATAACCGAGTCAAATAACTTTCCTTTCCAAGAAAAAATATAGACAAAGAATGAGGCATTGCGTGACAACAGCAAATGTTGGACTTCAGTGCAAACTAGGCAAGGAAAAGGCTTCAAAAGCTTGTGTTGAATTATTTTCATTCATGACTACAGAAATACCTGGTGTGGATTTCGGTCTATAATAGACTGTTCTTTAAACTTGAGCTTGCAAGAGTAATTGCCGCTGCCCCTAATGCGCATGGTGCCATAGTGGTCACAATAGATTTTACCAAGTATGATATTGTATATGGAAGTAGTCACCTTGCCCCATTCAAATGTCTCACCATCTTCTAACTGCAGGGTAAGAACACCTACAGGATCAAGCTGAATAGAGCGCCCCCAAAACTTGCCTTTGAGATTAGAATCAGCCCAGAATTTCCAGCCTCTACCCTCACAGTGGCAAGCGACAATCATTGGGTGGTGACTCACCTAAAAAGAGCTTGTTAGAGAAAAATTTCTTTCAGAAATCAGTAAGTTCATAGATGCCAACAATTTTGCAGAAGAGAGGAGGGCTACCTTTTCAGAGAAGAAACGTAGACCCTTATCCGGATAGTCAGCCTCATACGTCTCTCCAAGAAGAGGATTAAAGGGCTTGCACTGCCGACCTTCTGTTGATGCATAACCAGACACAGCGAAAGCTGCAATGTTTAGAATTCTCATCAAATCATTCCCCTGCAGCATGTAAAATTATTATCTTCAGCCAAAATTCGAATAACAAAAATCNCGAAAGCTGCAATGTTTAGAATTCTCATCAAATCATTCCCCTGCAGCATGTAAAATTTTTATCTTCAGTCAAAATTCAAATAACAAAAAAAGTCGAGCAAATTATGATATGAGTCAATCAATAAACCAGGTGTATCATGACCGGTGGAAATCGGTGATGAAAATAAGAAAACGAGAAGAAAGAAAGAGTTTTGGCACCTCCAGCTGCAGCATAAACTCAAAACCTTTTCATGTTGTGTATGCCTTACTTGAACTAGTCAAATACTGTAACATTTGAATATGACTAACTAAACATATACCCTTGGAAAGGCCCAAGTCCACTACGTGCTTTCAAACCAAATTCATATACAAAGTTTGCCACCAAGTAGAACACTATAATCTGTAATCAAAAAAAAAGTAGAACACTATAATCATAACAATAAGGCAAAACTCATTATAATAATTCCCAGCTAAAAAATTAATCTATTTTCGAGGGCTGCTATTATCTACCAAATTATGCTCATTCCTTGAGAATTGATGTGCACAAACACAGCCCCTAATTAGAAACCAATTGCAGCTAGAATTCAGTTGTCCTCAGCGATTCCCCGGCCAAAGAAAAAACAATAGCATGGTACTAAGTGAAAGGTTCTACCATCAATTCTTGGAAAAACATGAAGGGGCGAAACAAATAAATTAACAAAAGAAGCATCTTATCTGAAATTTTCTGTAAGCATTGTAATTTTGAACTCTTTAATTTTCTTCAATACTCTCATAAATTAAGCCACCTAACTACCTAAGACTTATATTTGCAAAAATCAATTAACAATTAATTTATCTAGTAACATCGAGTGCNAGAAAAAACAATAGCATGGTACTAAGTGAAAGGTTCTACCATCAATTCTTGGAAAAACATGAAGGGGCGAAACAAATAAATTAACAAAAGAAGCATCTTATCTGAAATTTTCTGTAAGCATTGTAATTTTGAACTCTTTAATTTTCTTCAATACTTTCATAAATTAAGCCACCTAACTACCTAAGACTTATATTTGCAAAAATCAATTAACAATTAATTTATCTAGTAACATCAAGTGTCACATGCTGAGCATTTGCAGTTCAACCAAACTGTTAGTTTGATTCAAATTTGAACACCTTACTTTTCTGATATGCAAAGAGTTGAGTCCTATTCAATTGGTTAGCTTCCCAACTAGGCAACTAGACAAATCCTGTTAGTATAAAGAAAAGAATCGAAACTTATCATCTAAATATTAAAAATTAATAGCCCTTGTGTGGGAAGGATAAGATGTTAGAAGCTGGAGGAGCAAATTGGCATTGTCCTAGAGATCGCACCTGGCAAAACTATTTATGGATGTTGCACTATCTAGTAATAACTAAACAATTATAGCACAGAAATTTTATGAGATCTCAACATCCTTATAGTTCTCTCCTTTTCCTTTGGTAAATCATTATGCTTCACAAAAGAAACTAGAAAGAGAACATCCACATAAACCAATCAATCAGCAATGCAAAGCTATAAAGATCACTTAAATTAAGAGCATGATCCATTTTCAAGGTGACTGTCGGGCATAAACCAACATATGAAAGTCAAGTATGTTACATAGCAATGAGCAATGATGCTGCGCTACTTAGGCCAGCAAATTAACTACCGGGATTAAATAACTACAAGATCATGCTTTAAGAAACTGCTTTGCCACAAAAGAAAGCACAACTGAGGCTGACCTGCTTTCCCCATTCCAATGCCCGATCGACCAAGTATGAGTACTCCAAATCTTCAAAGCATTTCTGCAACGAAGACAGTGGCTCATTAAAGTAAACAGGGAGACAAACACCAGATAGGTCCTTTCCAATATTGTCCTTGATTATTGACCATAAGCCAACTGGCTTCTCTTTCTCTTTTGGTTCTGGCAAACTGTCCCTTCTTTTGATATATGGATATTTAATAGCCTTTATCTCCATTCCGACCTCTTGCAAACGACCAGAAAAGAAAGGATCTTTATCATATGCCAAAGAACTACAAGTATGTCCCGTATTCTCTCTGTTGCAATAAGCACTTCTCAGAGAGTCAGAAGACAAGAAATCATTCGTGTCAAAATACATTCCATTGTCTTCATCTGTCTCAACATCTACACCATATCGACTTTCATTATCTGCATCAGAATCACTTGCACTACCCTCTGACATGATGGAATAGAAATCTGTGCCATTGTAAGGAAGTTAAGAAGGCCACCAAAATCTCAAAATTAAAGAAAGTATCACTTTCAATCTAATAAAATAGCATTTCAAGAACAGGCAATAAGGCTATTCTATGAATTTCGTTGCACTTACCAGCAATCATGCCAGCCACCGTGGAGAATTGCAAAGTGACGAACTATGTGGCATGTGAATTCAATAGTCATTGGTAAAATCTAGTTAATTCAGAATATTTCAAACGATGTCTTATCAATGAAGGAGAAAGTTCATCAGTCTAAGTCAAGGAAAAGCTACTTTCCAAAACAGCTCAAAGAAAACTTGAAGACCACAGCAGAATGCGATCAGAATCTTAGAATACTTCACTCCAGATGATTATGTTTTCATCAAAAAGAAATAACTTGAAATACTAAAATCTTTTTTTCAAAAAGAATGGACAAGGTTTGGGGCAACAGAATGCAAGGACAACGGAAGGCAGAGAGCTTGACTAACCACTGAATCTTCTATCTGCTTGTCCACAACAAGAATCCCGTTCCTTCGTCTCATCAACTACAGTGGTTTCCAGCTCAATTTTCTCTGTCTGCAAACGAAGTCATACAAAGAATGAACTTGTTCCTCTCTGGCACATGTAGAAAGGCAGAACTAAGACTAAATAAAAAGTTGGACACAATAAGATGGAAGGAGGTAGTGACGCGACACAAAATAAGTTCAACCAATTAACCCAATAATGGGGAAGCACAATCATACAACCTAGTTGGTTGGCTTAGTTTGCAGCACAAAACATTATAAGTCACATGGAATGACGACGCCTTCCATTGTTGCACAAAAAAAGTTAAGTTGGCTGTCAGCGACTGCATATGTTCCAAATTTAATGGGATTCAAAGATTAAAGAGGAAAACTCTTGATTAGACAAGAAAATAAATAGATATAAACAAATCTTAATAAACCAGTAACCCAGCAACTTTTGGTTGGTTCTTCTGAGTCTTTTTCAACTGTAAACTCTTTGGATGGACCATGATAACCATTGAACCAGAGCCCCAGTGTCTAAAACCTCAACTTACATTCTTTTTGGGTTTTCTCATTGTCATTAAAATGTCTTCGACTATAAAAAGTAAATTAGAATTAATTTGGAAACCAAAAAGATCACTTCCGGATTGAAGCCCTGATATATATTATGAGTTACGTATCAAAGATGATTTGAATGCTCTCATATCAGGGAGAGTATCAAGATGATTTTCAATTCTCTCATGTCAGGTTTCATTTCCAAGCTCCATATCTAAAAGCCCAAAACATAGCAAACATCTCCAGATAACAGCAACCTGGTCTGTAAAGTATCTTGAATCAATAAAAAAAGATGAATAGTTAAACAGGCTAAAGAGACAACAAATAAACAACAATACTTCCAGGTACAGGTGAAAAAAAAGTTGAAGGAAACAATCCAGTTACAATAAACCAAAAAGCTCTTCTTTAACTTTGCTTTGGTTTTATACTACTTTTAGCTTTCCTATGTTTTTCCTTTCTACACACCAGTAACCAGACACAGGAATGAGGATAAGTCAAAAACTAGTTTTGGGGGTACACACACATTACCTAATGCTTTCTGATTTCGAGTTGCCATGCTGGTCACCCCATATTTGTGTTAACCACCAAGAAACATCTACAACAATATACCGTTCCCCCTCCCACTAGAAAAATAAAAAAGGAAAGAAAGAAAAATTGTGAACCACAAGCAGCAAAACAAAGGTTTGAAAAGAGGACACATGTAAACCTCATACAGCTTTTATGTAATTTTGGTGCTAACTTATTATAAACTTGGTTACATAAGCAGAATGAATGACACCAGAAGTGAAAGAAACCAAGTACCTCTAATTGTCTCAGTGTGTCCAGCAGCAGAATGTGTTTAAGTTGAAGAGCCTTCAACTTATTTTGCAGCTCAGAGAATTCGTGTAGCATAATAGACTCACAATCTTTTATGATAGCCCCACCAATACCTTCTTGCGATAATCGTAATCGTAGCTCCTCTGTTGAGACAACAATATCTTCAGACGGGCCAAAATCACTGCTTGTCAACAATCTAGGGAATCGATCTTTTGCGGCTAGAAGTGCATCAATCCATGCAGCTCTGTCCTCTCTAGATACACACCGCAAATGAAGAGTTTTTGTTCCTGTGTATATGGTTAGCCTTTTGTCATCTGACTTGCTTCCCCGAATTGAAGAAACCTGTAGACAATGAACTTTAGAGCTCAGCTGCTACAAGAGGAAATATTTGAAACAATGTCATGAGAGCCACAGTGTGGCCATGGAGACCGCCACAATTAGACAACAGTACCAGTTTTACCACGAAGCTACACAAACACCCGGTCTGATGAATTGATTCCATCAGCAGCTCGAGGACCTATGAGAGAACCTATCACTCCCGTGATTGTCAAAGGGATATAAAAGGTTTCAAGGAGAAAATAATCTCTAGTACAAGGTGATAAGGTGAATAACACAAAGTGGGAACCATTTTTACGAAAAAGCACAGGTAAAGGCTGCAATACCTAAAGAAAAATAATATGTAATGAATTGTCCACCTTTCCCGGCTGACCCAAACCACCAAGCAAAAATAAACTAGCAAATATGGACTCAGTTGCCTAAAATTGTAGGACCGTCATTTAAGAGGAGTTCATTATACCTTCATCCTCAAACCAATGTAGAGAATCCATATTAGTTATCTTGTAGAAAGCCAGAAAATTTCAGAGCCATTTAAGACTTTGCAATCAAATAACACTGCCTAAGCAAGCTTGTCATGTAGGCTCCAAAAGCTTTGGCATTTCAGAGCACCCACTTCCACTTCAAGTTCTCTTCACTTCTGCACACATCAGTCCTTTCTTGAATTCTCCCCTACTATCCATTACGTTTCTATATCTTTTAGGACTATTATCTATTTGTTGCACAAGCAGGGAGGGGATGTATCAGAGCTTCTTCAGAATTAGTTCTTGGAATGACCTATTCTTATTTCTTTTCCAATAAAATCTTCTGTAGGCTATAGTGTAAAGCTTACCAATGAACTTCTAGTTTCTAATTTCTGTAACAAATATCATAGCTTTTTACTGTTCACCTCCAACATTACTGACCTATTGCACAAGATCATGTCTTTTACCTTTCTAGTTGATCTTCATGGCTCATACCAGCTCAGTCAGTTTCACATCAATTTTTAAGATATCCCTGCATCTTCTTGTTGTTAGCATGCACGGTCAGAAAAGCAGCTAAATATCATTATTGTTTTTTGTAGTAAAATAGAAAACACAAAGCCCATAATAAATCAACTGTACAGATGCAAAGGAAAAAAATAGAAATATTGTGTTAGAACCTAGTTTAAACGTAAATGCACGCATTGCCAGAATCCAGTTTAACAGCAAATGCAGGCAGTGACAAACCTTCAAATGTATCTCCCCAAATGGTTTCCACCGCTTAGTAGACCCACCAATCCGATTATTACTCCGATTAGCTTTCATCAAATATCTCAAAGATTCCTCTCCGATCACCTTAACACCCTTCTCTCTCGCCGGACTCATCACGATCTTGTCCGGTCCGTGAACCTTGTAATACGAAAGCACTCCATCTTCAAGCACAAACCACCTCGACCTCCAACCCTTTCCATAATTCACCCATTTATACAATATACCAGCTACACTCCCACTAACACCTCCATCTCCACAGTAAACCTTAGAATCTCTTCCTTCAACAGCATTATCTTCGATCTCATGATTCAAAGTTAACTTTAACCCATCCGAATCAGCAGTAACAGATGAAACCTGAGCCGAATAACTCAGTCTCGAGTTAGAGCTCACATTTTTCGTCACAGAATTTTCAAGCCCCAACTGACACTGACACTGAGACTGTGATCTCAGCACCACTGGATTATTGCTCTGATCTTTCTCGATCGAAACCGGAGCAATGCAGCACAATGGATTCATTTGGTTGAGAGCTCAAAAATCACTCAAATTTAAACGATTTCCTCACCGAATCGAAAAACAACTCATTCAAAATCGTCGTAATTTGTGTTTCTTCGAAATGCCAAAGAGAAACAACCCTGATCCTTCAAATGATGCTGTTTTAGAGAGAGAAAATCCACTCAAAACTGATCTTCTCTCCGGTGAGAAGCAAAGCACCCGATCGGAGTTCGATACGGCTACGGATCCGAAAATGTTCTGATATGACATAAGATCAACAGAGGACAGATGCAGTGGTATATAGATCAGGGAAGATAAGATTAAATACAAAGGGAAAAGAGAGACAGAGAGACAGAACTGAGTTCACAACAATTAAAAGCTTGCAGAGAAGAGCAGATCCATTTATTTCACTGCTCAGTAGTTGAGTCTAGGTAGTGTGTGTGACTGTGTGAGATGGAGGTGTAGAATCTATGGATGTAGGAGTGAAAGGAGGGGGGGGCGTAGGATAAGAAAATGGCGCAATAAAGGATTTAAATGCATGGTTTGTTTTTGGTTTTGGGACAGTAATGATTGCAAAATGCTGTTTGGATGTGGGGCTAAACAGCCTAAACTCCCTCAGTATTTCGAAGGTATTTCGATTTTTAATTTATATTCTTAAATATTAAAGATTTTAATTTATATCTTTAATATTATGAATTAATAATAATATGAACTTGATTCATATTGTCGTTTATTTTTTTGTCATAAATTGAAGAATGTGATGTTTAAGTGCTATGGACATGAAGTAAGTTAATCACTGCAGATCTTTGTTTGTAATCAATTTGGCACTGTTTGTATATCGAAAATAGTGTTTCATTAATGAGATAAAGGTTAATCATATCATGTGTAATTTATATGAAATGTCAACAATTTGGAAATTTATATATAAGTTTATATCTGAAATACTTACAACTCACGTGTTTTAATTTACGACGAAAAAATTGAACGACAATCTGGGTCAGGTCTATATTACTATTAATTCATAACATCAAGGATGTAAATTAAAAATCGAGGCATCTTTTAATGTGCAAAGTGAGATTAGTCTTTAGATTTAATCTAAGAACTTAATACAATATAGTCATTGGATTAAAAGAGAACAATTACATTGAATTAAATCTCTAAATTAAGTATTATAACATCACTTGGAATAATTTGGGTCTCTAAATAAGTAACAAATATCCAATACCATCGATATATCCATGAAAATATAGATAGTACCTATAAAAAATAAATTAAAAGAAAATCGATTTAGTTTGTTTGAAAATAATTATAGATATTTTTCTATTACATCAGTGAAAAAGAGGAATATGAATAGTTATCATCAATAAGTGTATGGATAAAAAAAATTAAAATTAACTTTAAATTAAATAAAAAAATAATATAATAACGAGAAAAATATAATCTTTCATAAAGTAAAATGATGAANAAATAATATAATAACGAGAAAAATATAATCTTTCATAAAGTAAAATGATGAAATAAGATTTATACAATCGACTCAAAATTATTGAGATAATGTTTTTTGAATTAAGTTGAGTTGAATATAATGATGAAACATAATTTATAGGACTAATCTCACTTTGTACCTAAATAAATGCTTTAATTTTTAACCTATAAGAATTAAAATTTTAAATTACACCCTTAACGTTATAAAATAGATGCAATTTAGTCCAATTGGAGGGTGAAATTTAAGTTTGAGGCTGCAAATTGAGCTTGAAATAGGACTATATTGCACCATTTTTATAATATTGGGGGGTATAATTTAAGAAATTGATTCTTTTAAGGTGTAAATTAAAATATTTTTAGAGTACAAAGTGAGATTAATCTTAATTTATATAATAAGGGATTAAAATATGTTTAGGCGAGATTGTGTGGTGATTGACTGAGTAAAGTAATGATTGTGGAGAGAGAGATAAATTGGGCAGGTAGTGCTTGGGGGTGGGGAAGGTATTGTCCGTTGGTTGAGGGGAAGAATTGCTTTCTGGTGGGCTAAAAGGGGCCCACGGGTTGTGAAAGTAAAGTGAAATTGGCATAGTTGACCTTGCAGTTGGTTCCAGGGATTTGTTTTCGTGAAAGTTGACTGTGACGTACAATGGGGGTGTTTGGGTCATTTTGAGGTCGTGAAAGCGATTATGCTAAATAATGAGTCGAGTAATTGGATTTATTGTGTTGCGAGGAGTCTGCGAGATGTGTACGAGGGTCCACCATGGGCAATGGTGAGTTGGCATTAATGGAGCTTTTTTTTTTTTTTTTCTTTTTTGTCAAAACTTGAATCTTGGGCATTAATTAAACCTTGCCTTAAAAACGAAAAAGGAAAAGTTTACTTTTGGAATTAAATGTATTTCTAATCAATTACTCTACACCAAATTTCTATATACGGGGCATGATCCTGGCTTTATTTTATTTTATTTTTATTTTACTGCATAACAATTTGAATGCAAACTGTCCAAATGAATTAAAATCATTAGATCAACATTAAGTTTCAATGTTTAATGAGATTCAGAGTCAAATCAAAAATTATAGTGAATTAGATCAACAAATAACGTCATTAAATTAGATCTCACTAACATTGTTTCCGACACAATATACAAAGTGGTCTATTTTTATGAGGACAAGGATGGTCCAAGTTAAAGCTCAACGAATAAATATATCCAATTTTTTAAATATTTTTATTAGGACGAGGAATAAAGGCGGTCCAAGTTTGAAGTTTAACGAATAAATATTATTGAATATTTAAAAAAGAATTAAATCTAGATTGGAATCTCCTCGTACATTTACTCTTCTTTTTTTTTTTTTTAATGATTTATCATTTATCACGAATTAAAGATGCTCCACTTCTTACCAAAATTCGATGGGATTCTACTATGTCCGCAAGTGGTTCTTAATGGACGGTCCAGTTTATTTTTTAAAAACTTGAGTGAATATATGGCGGAGATTATTTTAGCTATTGTTGTAGGGTAAGGAAGGGTGCATAAAATTAGAGAGAATTAAAGCTATGGACTATGGTCCAAAATTCGGCAAATTATCATTTTAGATACTGTATAGAATGTCCTGATTTGATTGGAATTTGACTGAAAGACATATCGGTTGCTAAATTTTTTAGAGTACATAGTTTCCAGCTTAGACAAAAAGCTTTGGTGTGGACCTTACTCTGCATTATTGCAAAAAAAAAAAAAAAAATAGTTATAGATGGTGCAAATATTCATGTAATGCTTGGACTTATGAGGGGGCATTAAACCATCCCAACTCTTGGGCACAGTTTGGATGGATCAACTCAAATTAGTTCGCTTTTAATTTAAATTTTTTAGTGTGTGGACAAGAATTATTAATAAACAGATTTAACTGAACAAAAATTTTTAATGTAGTCAAAAAAAAAAATATACAATACGACTTTTTTATATATCTGTTATAAATAATTTATATACGATACAAACTCGATACGATACGATACGATCCATTAAACACAAATTAATAAATGAATTGGACATGAGTTGAATATTTTTTGATACAAACTCGCTAAAACTCAACATAAACTCGTCTCATCTGATATATTGACAAACCTATTAGTTGGATTTTTAGGTCAGATGTTAAAAATATGCACCATTAAATAACCAATTTTCTTATTTGTTTTTTAAAAAATTTCAACAACACCCCTTATAATTTATCATATTTTTAACGATATTCTTTCTATTATTAAAAATGTTACTGACACCCTTTCTAGTTTATATTTAAGTCATTGACACCTCATGCCATTAAACCACAATTTATAATAAAAAGAAATTATTTAAAATACCAAAATTGACCCTACATAAACTCAAAAGAGTCTTTCTACATAAAATTCGATTAAAATTGGGGTTGATTAAAATTTCTTTTTTTACATATTAAAATTCGAATTGATTAAAATTTTTTTTCTACATATTATATTTGATTGGATTAAAATTCGATTCGACCTGATTAAATATTATTTTTTATATATATTAAAATTCGAGCCTATTAAAAGTCTTTTTTACATATTAGAATTCGTTGATTTAAGTTTACTTGAGTTGTTAGCTCTTATTAAAATTCTCTTTTAGTCGATTAAAATTTATATTTTTTATTTATTAAAATTCAATTCAACTTGATTAAAATTTATTTTTTACATATTAAAATTTGAGTCAATTAAAATTTATATTTTTTTATGTATCAAAATTCGGGGCCGATAAAAATTTAATGAGAGTTGATTAAAATTTAATTTGAGCCTCGAATAAAATTTTAATTTAATACGTAAAAAAATAATTATTAATTGATTTCAAATTTTAATTAGTTTGAATCGAATTTTAATCGGCCTGAATTTTAATACGTAAAAAAATTTAAAAAATAAAAGGGGTCTCATTGAATATATATACCTATCTGGAGAGGGTGTGAATGAAGTTTTTCCTAAAATATATCACGGGTAGTTTAGTAAAATTATATTTTAATTAACACATTTAATCTGACAGACAGTATCAGTGAAAATTCAAAAAATAAAGGAAAGGTGCGTTTTTTATGGATGAAGTTGTGTTGCACAAACTGTTGCCCAAATCTTATATCCCAAATAATGTATCAAAATCTCATACATTAAATATTTAGTAGAGCTAGTGAATCCTACTAATCCAACCACTTGTATTTATTTGGGATACAAAATTTGGATAAAAATTTGTATAGCATAGCATTGCTCTTTTTTTATTGTCTTTAGTCCTTAGTGATAACCTAGTTATCCTCTATTTGAATGAAATTTATTCTTATCTCTGGCTTTGTAGAATCAGAGTTTTTATTCAGATTGTAGTTTATTCTGATGAGCAATGCTATAAAACTCAAATAAAATAAAAAAAAATTACAATTAAAATGTATATTATTCATTGGATAAATAATTCCTATTAATTTTTTTAACAAAACTCACTCATTCTGCGCTCATTCAAGAAATAATATACATTTAAATTTTATTTCATTTAATTTATGTTGTATTTTCTTAGTCAGAATACCATTGAGTATGACTTTTATGCATCTGCTCGGCCCACATCTCCTTCTCCGGAGCACTGCCAATCGAATCGACCACCTGAAAGACTTTTTCTCTCATTCTGGTCGCCATGTTTTTTCCACCTGATCAGTGGACATGCTTTGGCTCGGACAGTGACGCTCTGTCTCTCAAAAACAATTTTTACAAAATTCCTCTTGTTTTCGTATAACTATCACATCATGAGCAGAATTACATTGAACCTCTTCATCTTTTCTCATTTGGACATATAGAGCGTGCACATTGAGGTTATACGGTGGTTTCTATAATAAATTGAGATAGCGAAACGATTCTAAATGATAAATTTGAAACAATGAATTAGAAAAAGGAGGTCCGATGTGTACTCGNACACACGAAACGATTCTAAATGATAAATTTGAAA